AAAACCCGACTGGCGTAGTGACTGTTCTGCAAGATCATCGCTCAGTGACTGTAATAGACACAACTTGACCTAGCTAGTTTTGCCATAATAATTTTTCCAATTACAAGTTGGGATTTATAAAATTTAAACACTAACACCCACTAAATTCCTTAGTTTCGTTGGAAGAATTGCAATTCCCTCATTTTTATGGAATTAAAATCCCATACCCACCCCCCACCCCCCTTGGAATTTTAATTCCATGGAATTTAGGAAGAAAAAAAATAATGATGAGACAAAATTACTCTCCCCTTTTTAACCTAAAATTGATGTCTGACAATAACAATGACATTTTGGACTTTATATTACTGATTCCCTTTCAATTCTCATGTATACCAAACATTGGAATTGAAATTCCCAGTAATTTTATTACTGTAAAACAAACGCTGAAATTTAAATTCTCACTTTATTTTCAGTAATTCATCTCCCATTGAATTGCAATTTCTTTCCCACGTAATTCACTCACTCCAACCAAACGTGAAATGCCTCATGTTATTCTCACCACCGTGAGACCTAATTCAAATTTAATTTGAGTTACACATCAAAGAATTTAATTTTTACTCAAAAAATATCTGACTCAGACGCCTTATTATAAGAGTCAAACAACATACTTAATCAGAAAACTCAAATTCAAGGAGACCATATTTTATATAGTCGGTAAAGTTAGTTAAACAATGAACTATATACCTAATATACGGATATATATATGTCATATGTGTGTGTAAATTGTAAAACTCGGTAGCACGAGTCCACGCCGACTACATATATAAAATACTAATTAAAATTGTGTGGATCAAATTAGATATTGCATTAGTAGACAACACAGTAATTAACGACGTAACGTTGTATAATTGTATTGCATTAGGCTCATGTTAATGTCTGTGCAAGTGCCTAACTATCAGTTCGTATAGTTTACGTAAGAATCAATGACGAAATTAATTACACAATTAGACTTTGATACCGTATTAGCTTATTTTGGACCTCATGTACTCAACTGCTTTTTGATGTGCTTACACCGCCTACTTCTGGTAGACGTTGATCATTACATTAAAATTGTTTTCATGAACTTAACTCACTGGTTCAGTAAGCAGTATTTAAAAGAAAAGATCAAGATTCAAACCTCGGCAACGATAGTGTGGAATTATGTCTAAAGTGGACAGATCCTTTGTGTGCACCGGTCTGTCTGCTGAACTATTGAGTTACCGTGATTTACATCCTCCCAAATACTCAGTTGGAGATTCAACCTTTTTGGGAGAAGGAAGATTACATTAAGATTTATATTTTTTAATAGAGTAAATTAAAGTTAAGTTATATTCTTATAAGTCTCGCTCATAGCGAAACTATAGTGAAATTGTGTAAATTTTTGAATAAAATAGTTGATCACTCTTCACTACTGATTCAATCGACCCTCGTTAACATATAGTGAAATTTATAGATTGTTGACTAATTAAGGGGATTGTTACTTCTTGTAGTTGTAATACATATTCAATATGATTTTGAAGTAAATTTTTTGAATACTACTAGCTCCTATTACATTACATTGTAGTATATGAACCCAATAACGCTTCCACTGAAGCTCGAACTCACAACCTTCCAAATGGAAGTCCAACCCGGGTACCATTAGACCACATAGTCCTGGAAGTAAATTTAATTATGCATTATTTAATTTATTTATTGCCCATCAAATAAACTTGTCAACTCTCTAATCTAGATCCATAAAATTGGGTAAGATCATCGCTTTATATTTTATAGCACAAACAAGTAGTAAAAATAAATAAAATAAAAATTAATTTAAACTTTTGTAACCCACAATTTTTTTAAAACGGACTCAGTTCCTACTGCCGTGCTTAGAGTGTTGAAGCGTTTGTTTCCCAAGAGCATATGGAGATTTAGAATACTCACACCGGTACACACAAATCAAGCTTACAAACTCATTTTACACCTTGATTTGCACCTATTTTGACATGATTTTGTAACTTTGTTAGACTGTTGACTTGGTAACCACAAGATGTATGTCAAGTTTGAATTACAGTGGGAGCGCCCTATATATTGACTTTCTACTTGGTTTAAGCCAGTTAGTTATGGACAACTTAGACTAGTTTACCTTTTTATAGTCTTTTTGTCAACTAGGTCATCACTAAACGGAGTTTATCTCGTACACACCTTCATATAGCTTAGCAACTGCAAGTTTCCCTAGTTATCAATAAATAAATAAATTGCCGGCTCGCATGCCAATTTATTTATTTTTTATTTATAACAGTTAGAAGCATATGAAAGATAGTATGTAGTGCATACAAAGGCTTTCAGTTAGTTAAGAAACTTGAAAAGTAAGGGATGGTGAGTTGAACAATATTAGGTGTGATGGGTGGGCTGAGAGCTACTAGTAGTGAGCCATCAATTATTTAAAAGGCCAAGAAAAATATATAGCAATAGCCTAAAAGTAAGTGGATGAAAGGGACTTAATATAAGTGCAAAAAGAGAGAAATAAAGAATTAATTGTTAATTAGAAACTGAAACTAATTAAAATACAACAATATATATATACACATATATACATGACTTTGGCAGTTACCAACTCATCTTTCCTTCCCATTTATTGTTTGTCATTTAATGAAGCAGACATTGATGGAGTTTCCCTTTTGTTTTCAGTACTCCTTGTAAAATTGTAATCATCAAACAACCAAAAGAAGTGAACAGCCAAAGCTGATCCACATATATATACTTTTCATTTCTATCTTGTGCATGCCAAACCCTATCCCCCATCCATCCCATGCCAACTTCACTTCCCTTTTACCCTCTCAAAATGCATTAATTACTATGAGTAGTTTAACATTTTAGAGTTAATACTAGCTGAGGTCTTGTAAGTATAGTGGCACCGTCATGTTTAGTTCTAAACTTTAGTTTCAATTTGACCATATGTTGTTCTTCTACTTTCAAATTTAACTAGTTGTGGTTAATTAATTCTTTTGTTAGTTAAGGGCAAAGTTAGGACTATGACTTGTTACAAATTTGAAAGTTGAAAGAGTATATGTGTTTAAATTGAAAGTTCATGAATAAACGTGGCAGTGTCACTATATCTGAAGACCCAGCTGGTATTAACTCTAACATTTTGGTTAAGATGAGATAGATCATTTAAGTTTAAATTTTTAGTTGAGACGAAAGTCTCAAAACATATGTTTTGATTCAAAAATATTACAGACATGAAAATTTTGACAGTAATAAACAGGCTAATAATAGTGGGCTATATTTTAATTGAGCTATTTGAGCTTATACATCAATTAACTAAATTAATTTGACAAATTATATTGTGGACCACATATAAATGTTCGTTTTTAGTATATTGAAGATTCATTTTTAAAGTATCGAAAGATAATTTTTAGGTAGTATACCAAATAATGAACCTTTAGTACACAAAGATATAATATTCAATGATTAAAAATGAATATTTAGTATACTAAAAATAAACCTTATGTCAGTTGTCTACATTACAATGTGAATCATGGTTCATGATATAATGATTGAATTAATTTTGGCTATGTTACTTGCCTAATTAATTTAATTATTCGATAAGATATTAAGATTTAGTCAATTTACATATATATAAATTTAGAATAGTATAATTGTGAGAAGAATTGTATAATTGTAATAAGATCATGAACCTAGCTAGACAGAATAGTGGCATAATATATTTTAGATAAGTCTGTATATTATTTCAAATATCTTATTATTAATTAATATTAAGATAATATAATAATATAATTTGAAGTCTCATATTCTCACCACCATAAATATGAGGTCAGAGAAGAAAAGCTTATTCAAAATAACTATAAAATCATTCTAAACTCCCATGAAAGATGAAGATTTATTCTGAGCCTTTAAACTTGATCGTTGCATTATGTGAAGCTTAAACTCATATATCTAGTCCCCACACCCACTCGAAATCACGGTGACTCAATAACTCAACAGATAGAGTTAAGTACTGGTGCGTACAAGTGATCTGTCAACTTTTTGCATTATGTGAAGCTTAAACTCATATATCTAGTCCCCACACCCCACTCGAAATCACGGTGACTCAATAACTCAACAGATAGAGCCAAATATTGGTGCGTACAAGTGATCTGTCAACTTTAGGCATAATTTTCACATTGTCACATTGTCGATGCTGAAGTTTGAACTTTGAACGACTGCTTATTGAACCAATTCGAACCTTGGACGACTCTTTCCCTAAATACTGCTTACTTACTGAACCAGTGAACTAAGTTCGTGTGGGCTATAAGCTTTGAATATAATTACTCAGAATTTTTATACTTACATAGATGTTAATTATATAAATTAAATTTTCGCATTTACAAATAATAATGTATTTGGATGAGAGTAGACAAAAGGTGTTGAGTAAGGTATAATGTGTTGATTAATATAATACGCATTTGTCTCACAGTACTCATGGGAAAAGAAACAAATTTTTGCAAAGAGGGAAAAAACTAGATTAAAAGGTACCCCATGCATCCATCACGGGCCGGGCCCCCTTTTCGTGTATGAAAGGCAAGCATGGGCAGTGACCACCTACGCAAAGTATAGCAGTACTACTTCAACAAATTGTAGTAGTAGATCAGATCAGATCACCACCGTACATTGACAAAACACATCAACAAACCCATCAAAATTCAATGAATAACCTCTTAACTTAATACTTTAAAGTTAAGTCGGATTGGAGATCATCTTTCACCTAATATATATGTATGTGTGTTCCAACTATATATTCACCTAGTTCATTTGGTTGGACAAAAGTTCTGCCTCTTGAACGGAATTTTGTAACAGCTCATTATTAGTTTTCTTGATTTGATCGAGTCTATAAGTCATACACAAATTAACTTTCAATTATGGATTAATTAGACTGATCTGGTTAATGTAATATTGTTGAGACAATTGACTAAAGAAGTAAAAATAAAAATTAATATGGAGTAGTAATTAATTATTTGAATAATAATAAGTTTAGAATCATATAACAAATAATAATCAAGATAAATTTGATGTTGGTTGATGGATCACAAACAATCAATTAAAACAAATAATTCAATATCACTATGTATTGTATTATCTGATCGGTTTCAGTAATGACAGTCCACCAAAGCCGGGGTGGAAAACGCAAGATTTTGTAACTTGGTTTCTTGATCGTCATCATCATCTTCTAGTGGAGCCGGCAGGTTAAGATCGAGCGTGAAAACACCCCCGCCGCCTGTCGCCGCCTTCTCTCGGCGGTCCGATGATTCAGAAACGTTGGCCGTTCCGCCGTCGCTAATCACCGAGAGCGGCTTCGCCGGGTTGATAGTAGGCGGCGGCCGGTGTCTTCTCATGTGACCTCCCAGAGCTTGCCCCGACGAGAACTCCGACCCGCAGATCGAACACTCGTGAATCTTGGCCTTGCCGCCATTGCTGAGGGTATGGGTAGAAACCCCGGCGGCGAAAAGCGGCGAACTTTGTTTATCAAAGTCTGACGACGACGGCGCCGCCGATTTTTTCTGATCGTCTGCCGCAGTGATCTTAGGTTTCTTGTGGCTGGCTCTATGCCCACCCAGAGCTTGAAACGACGGGAAAGTTCGGTTACAAGTTTTGCACTGATAGACGTATAAATCGCCACCACCCTTGCCGGCGCCTGCGGCGGCGGCGGCCATTTCGTCGACTTTCCGGCTGCCACTAACTCTCTCTACTTGACGGCATCCACCGCCTCGTGCCAAAAGAATCAGACAATTCGCCATGTCCTCATCCTCATCGTTGGTGGTGGCGGATATCTGGCTAGTCGAAGTCGCCGGAGAGTACTGAGCGGAGGAGGAATAGAAAACAGCAGCAGCACCACCATCCCCGCCGCCGCTAGAACAGCTCGAGTCAGCCGGCGACAATCCCCTCGGACGTTTAGTACGCTTTCCTTTTATCAACACCATCTGATAATCGGAATATTCTTGAGAGATTTCCATAATAGTGCCTAAAAACAGCCAAAAGAAAAGTGAAGATCGATGATCAGAGCAGCCTTGAAAGATATAAGAATTGGAGAGCCGGGGTGGGACACTGAAGAGTGTTGTCATATATATATATATACCAACTAGGGAAGTTAAAAGTAAAAAAAATTCGATGTTAAAATGAGAGTTCTCGTGAATAATCTATCTTTAATGAAATAAAAAAATGTTCAATCTGACTGACCCTCGTTTATTATAATCTCTTTCAAAAAATTTTACTCCGAATAACATAACCCGCGTCATCTAAACTTACAAGAAACGAGATCGAAACCGTGTTAGATCATACCTAAAAGGAGAAAGTGTAGCCACAAGTGTTTGCTTGCGTTAGGTACTTAGGAAAGGTGTCTTTAACTAATATTCCTCATCACTCTCTTTAACCACACTTAGCCTAGCAAGACTAGCAAGCCAAGCAACTTGAGTTTCAATTAAACTTTTTATTTGGGGAATTGAATAGAATTTCATTGAATTGGTGTGTTTCTTGCTGATCCCTCTATAAGCAAGGCATGAGTGTTGGGAGAACTATTAATAAGGTATGCCTTCAAGGGTGGCAAAGAATTATATATATATCAAGTTGTGAATACCATGTATGGAGACCAGGTTTTACTTTGCAATGTATGTAAAATAAAAAAAATCAAAATTTATTTTGAAAATATAATATTTTCAGGTACCATGAATTCAGACAAAAATAAAAAATAAAAATTACTTATGTATATGCGTTAGGTGATTAGTACTAATTAGAGCCTAATAATATCTTGATCCAAGTGAAGCTATGGTTAAGGGTGCCGCAGTGTTACTGGCGGAAAGAAATCTTGCTTTGTGATCCTAGCTAGCAAACATACGTACTGTTCTTAATTGGCAGTCACACTTGTAATCTTATAGTTATCAAATTAATATATTGACCAACTTAATTGAATTTGTCTCCAGTTCTTTTAGTTTTTTTTTAGAGAAATAGAAAAATGCAAAATCATAAATACTTTTATTTGTACATTTCTTTAATTTAAAAACATAGAAAGGGGAATTATAAGGAAGTGAATATGGTTTAAATGGTTCTTTTAATTTTTATTAGAACAATGAGTATGTAATAAATTTATTACAATTAAAATATCAACTGATCAATGAATATATTCAATAAAATCTAAAGACTAACGGATAAACATCACTAAGAGAGTAATAAGAGTTTGTTCATAGTTTTAGCCTCAAGCAGGTTCTTGCCACTAACTCGATGTATTAAGACTAGTTAAATGGTCCTATTAATTAATCATATTTAAAAAAAAAAAATACACCTTTCAAAAAAAAAAATACATTAAATAGGATGTATAGTATTGGGGGAGTTGGGAGTGATATTATTCTTTAATTTCAGTACTAGAGAGTAGTAGAGGAGGTGACTAGAGATATGGAAGGATGCATGGTTGGTCCATGGATGTAACCTTTGAAAAGGCCATTTCTATGGTTTTTCTTTTATTTATTTAATATATATTATTGAATTGGTAACAATAATAATAAATTTCCAGCTAAAGTCACGAATAAACGCAGCCATTAAAGCAAGAGGATTGCACGTTAAAGCCATGCTCCACCTCACACAATGTCTTCTTAAACTTAAAGAAAAGTACTTATTTTCATAGAGAGAGATGCAAGTATGATCAAGTGAGGCAAACCACCAAGATTCTTTTTGGCTTTCAAGCAAACCTTTTACCCTTTTAATACCATTCAAGTAAACAAATTAAAGATGGATTAAATTTGACACGGTTTTTATAAAGGGGTGTTTGGTAAATAGCTGTTAGCTAATTGGGTTAGTGAGTTTGACTAGTTGATAGCATTAGTTGATTGTAAAAAGATGTTTGGTAAATTAGTTGTAAACTGATAGCTGATTACATGCAAAATGACTCTCTCCGAAAGCTTATTGAAAAAGCTGCTCAAAGCAGCTTTTTGAATTTTAATATTTTGGAACAATAAGCTGTTACAAAAAGCTAATTAATTAAACACTTGGTTATTAACCAATTAAGTCAAATAGCTAATAGTGATCAAATAAGCTAAAATTGACTGATAAGCTAACTGTGTTACCAAACAGGGCCAAAGTCTTCCGTGTATATATGTCATTGTATATATCTTAACCAACCATTTTCTTACATAAGTTAAGGATTAATAACTGTTGAAAAGACATTGTACGGGTCTGTTACTATAAATATATATAAAGGATAAAGCATATTGCTCTCCTCTCCTTTACACAATGACGAAATTCTCTCACTCCAAGGGTCCCCATACCCCGCCCCGATAAGATAATGAATAGATAAATCAATGGGCTTTTAGGTGGAAGGATCAATATTTTGGTGTCCACAACAAATTTACATTAAGTGTAACTCTCACACTACGACTTTCAGGTCTTGATTATGTTTATAGTGACAGGTGCAATGCATTTTTTATATTGTTAATATTGTTATTTTTTGTATCCACATATATGACAACATCAAATTTTTGAAAAGTGGAATACCAAACAAATTGAAATATGAACAATGTATTGTGATCTGTGAACTATTTTGGATGAGAGGTGGGATATGGAGTAGGGACACTAGTAGTTTGCTGTCAAGTGGGCAGGGTGAGAGGTGATGAGCACCACGTACCATACAGCTTCTTGTCATGGACACTACTTTGTGACTTGTGACCAAGCTACCATTGTTATAAGTTTTTCTTCCTTTCTTTTTATCCCTACATGCATAATTAATAATGTTTTTTTTAAAAAAAAAAAAAAATTAACCCTAATCTAGAAAGTCTCCACCGCTCCATCTCTAAGATCTAGTAGAAGAAGTAAATTTTGTGATATTCACTAAAATCTATATTACCTGTTGGGCGTCAGTCGGGTTATTCAATTTCAGTCCTTTCTCGATTCAAAACGCGGTATTGTGACTTATCATAAAAAAAAATATGATTAAATGATTAAATGATTAAATGTCCACCTACTTATACCAATTAATTTTAAGTATGATATGAAAATTAGATAGTCAAAAAATTTGTGATTAAATGTGCATGACTTACACGCGTGAGTGACTCTTATATAGTATATATAATTATCTTTAATAATATTTGGAGTAATGGACCTCTTTTACCTTTATAAATAGGTGATCACAGGATCAAATCTTACTGAAGCATTCAGTGACAGATCCAGAAAATTATGTGAGTGGGGACATACTTAAAATGACTTTAGAATTGTCAATGACAAAATATCAAACACTTATAATATGGTTCCTAATACATTATAAATTATAATACAATATTTACGATAAACGACATGATAGTTTGGGCGGAGCCAAAACTATACTTAGGTAGGGTGAAATTGGCAAAATATAAAACATAATCAATTACATAAAATAGTTTGAATAGAAAAGACGTTATATTCATAAATACTTTAATTTTAATGTTCTTTTAATTAGATCAACTTTAAATTTTTCTAAACTAGTTTGAATACAATGAAGTATAATATAAACTTGTGGACTACATTAACTAAATGATTTACAAAAAAATAAAAAAAATAAAATTTTAAAAAACATTTAATTTATTAAAGGGTGAAAAGAGCTAAAATAAAGAAAAAAAACTAAAATATTTACACACAAAAATAGAATTAAAAAAAAAAAACAAAAAAGAAGCCTAAAATATAGAGAAGTGATGAAGGTGGGATTTAAACACAAAGATATTTCACGTTACAATCCAAGCTTCAACCATTTAAGCTACTGCACTCTTTAGTGATTACTACATATACATATATACTAGCATTTTGTACGCACGATGCGCGAAAACCTATGCCCAATATTAAAATATTGTTAAGTAACAAAATTTTAAAAATTAGTTAAAATTATGTTTCGCAATTCCTTAAAGTGATGATACTTTTGAATTATCATATATTTAAATAATATAGTGATCAAAACAAAATATAATTTATAATTAAATTAATTGTTATAATACTAAGCTAATTAACACCCACATATATGATATATTGATATGTATACACAAATAATATACATACATACATACAGACATACATACATACATACATACATATATATATATATATATATATATATATATATATATATATATATATATATATATATATATATATATATATATGATACACATATATTATTTAACATTCATATATATATTTAATTAAAATATAATGTATAATTAAATTAATTGTTATATGATAATTTTTATAAAATGATAATTAAAAATAGGAAAAAGATATGATAGATGTAGGTGTATGGTAAAATTGGTGGATATATTAAATACTAACGGTGTTATAATGGTGATTTTGTCCAATATAAATGAAAGGTACAACAATTAAAGCAAAATGTATATATTTATTAGCATATAAAAAGGGACAAAAATCAAGGACATAACTTGTATTGACACATATTATGTTTTTAGATTAAAGGACTACCAAGGGGTGAGTGGGGGCAGCTGCCCCCATGGTAGATCCGTCACTGGGAGTATTGATTCTTGAACTTTTACCTTGTAAAGAATTATGAGTATTTGAAAAATAACAAAATTCAGGACAAATTAAAATAATATTTTTTAAAAAGTTAAAATAAATAAGAAGACTTAAAAGTTAAAGGGGCTTAATTTACTATGTGATAGTGACCTGTTTTCACTTCATTTACTGACCGAATTAAAGTGTGAAACCGTTTTCTTTTTCTCTTTTTGCTCGAAAAAAAAAATGATAACAATAAAATAAATTTAAAACTTTTTTGCACTAGGTATTATCAAATACCAATATTTTGAATCACTAAACTGTTTGACAATTCGAAAATTTAAACAACTTTAAATAAATCAAAACTTCAGTTCATTTATTTTTAAATATGAAAAAATATATTACACGTTACATATTCAATATATATACATAGGGGAGGGTTCAAGTAACATGCCCTAACAAGTGAAGATTGATTCATGTTTTTTTTTAAAAAAAAAAAATTAAAACCTCAACTATTGATCAATGTTGAAAAAATCTCTAAAGGGCCATTTAAAAAAAAAATTCTTTTTTTCATTTTTTCATTTTTTTTTAAATTAGGAGTTA